CAGTGGCAGGGAGTCCTGACGGTAACAACCCCAAAACTGACGTGTTTTGCTGCGGTTTGCGCAATGCTTCTTGGCTCAAGTGGCCGAGAGTTCCAACGGAAAGAACGAAAAAGCGGGTGGCCATCTGCTGCGGTGTGTGCAATGTTTCTGTGTCGAAGTGGCAGGGAGTCCCAACGTCCAGCCTTTGAAATCTCCGCCCTGCCCTCGGAAATCCCAGATTTACCGGCCACGTTTTGTACGCTTATCATGATTTTGGCTCATCATTCTTTGAAATTCAAAATAATACAGAAAATGAAACAGAAGTTCGAAAGAAGAGAGAAATTCAAAGAATTCGGAAATTCACAATCATCATCGTCCTGTTTTAGAAACTGGGACGGAAATCGGCCCAAAAAGGGACCTTGATGGCTATTTCCTCCTGGAATGCCAAATCTGATCGATATGTTTTATCGGACGATTACTAGGATTGGTGAAGTTTTGTATTATTTTGTATTATTATTATTATTATTATGGTTTTTATTATTTATTATTATTATTGCACTTTGGAAGGCTGTCGAAAATGGTACAACGGGCACACTGAATATTGTATCAAGATCCCTTTCCTTTCACGGTTCTGGAAAAGGATCGATATTATTGGTATTATTATTATAATAATTATTATCATTATTTTATTAATATTTAATTATTATTAATATTTGTGCTTGCTGATATTAATAATATTAATTATTATTATTGTCATTATTGATTATTATTTTAATTATTGGTGTTATTATTACTTAATAATAATAATTTAATATTATTAATTATTATTATTATTATTATCATTATTTTATTAATATTTACTTATTATTAATATTTGTTCTTGCTAATATTAATAATATTACTTATTGTTGTTATTATTGATTATTATTTTAATTATTGGTGTTATTATTATTTATTATTATTAATAATAATTTATTATTATTATTATTATCGGAAGGTGATGAGATAGCAAACTGTAAAATGGGTGCATCAGACGAAGGAATTGTATGTTGAATGCCAAATCCTGTCAAAATCCTATTTTCCCCCCTTGAGGATTGAGCGGTTTGTAAATGGTGCGGAATAGACTAATGCATTTTTATTCATTGTTATTAATTATTATTGTTTGTTATTATTATTATTATCGGAAGGTTGATGCAACAAGATGTAAAATGGGTGCGTCGGACGAAGAAATTGTATGTCGAATGCCAAATCCTATCCAAAGGTTATTTTTTGGTGTAAATTGTGCGGAAAAAGACGAATGCATGTTCTATTTATTTCCTTAAAGAAAGAGAAATCTCTATATATATATGGAAAGGTATTTTCTGCTGGAGAAATATAAGAAGCATGTCTATGTATGTTTCTATGGAAAGGTATAAAAATAGGAGAATTTATTTGCCTGGAATAAATGCGAAACGGAACTCGAACTCGCAACCCTGGCATTATTATTATTAATTAATTTGTATTATGAGTCGCCCTTAATTTATTTATTATTTGTTTTATTCTCATGAGTTGCACTTAATTTAATTATTATTTTTTATACAACGATTATTTGCCAGCGATTCCTTATTCATTGATGAGTATTCCACTTCCTTGATTTATGATTAATTGATTTGTATTATGAGTCGCCCTCAATTTACTTGTTCTATTATTCTTATTCGTTTCCCTGATTCTATAATTTTCTAGAATATTCTAAAATAGAATATTATAGATATTATATTCTATAATATTATTAATAATATTAATAATAACACTAATACATTAATAATATTAAAATAATATAATTATTATTTTTATATTAAATAATTAAATATGATTAAATATAATTAAATAAATAATTAAATTTAAATAATTGAAACAATATAAAATAATAATAATATATTGATATAAATATATGGATATTTATTAATATTAATAAATATATTAATTAAATGTATTGATATAAATATTAATTTATAGATTTGTATTTATTATTACATAAATATTGATTTATATCTTTTCCCAAATTGGCAGGGCAGGGAACTATAGTTTCGCACCCGGCGCCGGCCTCCCCCCTCCAATCCAGAAAATGGATTCTCCCATTTCGATGGGAATTCTAGCACTGCCTGGGAAGAAGGCGCGCTCTTTGGGGTCTCGGCCTGAAAACTACAGTTCCCAAGGTGCACCTGGGGCTTGGCATGGCCCTTCCCTGTGCTGAGCCTAGACGCGAAGCATCATGGGGAATGTAGTTCCATAAGGACGCCTTTCAAGCGAGAGGGTCGCGTCAAGGCGCGTCGATTGGCTGAGGCGCCCTAACCACGCCCCCTGCGCGACATCCGACCCACGATTGGCCCCGCCGGCGAGAAGCGACGCGCCCATTGGCTGACCTATCAAAGAACCTAACCCCGCACCCTGCGCGGCATACGACGCACGATTGGCCCCGCCAGATAAAGCGACGCGCCCATTGGCTGGGCCTACCTGTCAAAAGACGCCTCCTGGGTGGGGCTTCAGCAGACGCCGTGTTCCCATTGGTCCCGTGCCTGTGAACGCGGGCGCTGATTGGCTGGGCACTTAGCGCTCTTCATTTCTCCTCAGAAAGCGCAGCAATGGCGGTCGGAGATTTGAAGCTGGTTTCCGACGTGGATATCGACGAGGCCGACGGCGTCTTCAAGTACGTCCTCATCCGCGTCACCACGCCCGGCTCCGGGCCGGGGAAGGACGTCGTGCGCGGCTACGCCTGGGCCGAATATCACGGTGAGGGGACGCCGGCGGCGACTTCTGATTGGGCGAGGCGTAGTCACGTGGAAAGCGGAGGCGGGTTTCGATTGGGCGAGGCGGGGAGAAAGCGCGGTTGCGGGTTCCCATTGGGCGAGGCGCAGGCGAAGGTGGGGATGGAACTTCGGTCGCGACGTTTGATTGGGTGAGGCTCAGGCGCATGGATAGTAGAGGCGGGCGCAGAACGCCGGTAGCGGCTTCCGATTGGGCGAGGCGGGGAGAGAACCACGGTTGTGGGTTTTGATTGGGCGAGGCGCAGGCACGTCGACATGGGAGGCGGGGAGACGGTGGCGGGCTCCGATTGGGCGAGGGCGTAAGAAGCGGCGGAGTGGCACGTCAGATTCGCGGCCTCATTGGTCAAAGCTCACCCGGAAATGTTTTGAATTTATTGTGACTGGAAGACGCCACGTGTGTTTTGCTATGTCTATAGTAATCAGAGGATTGAGTAATGTATATTATTATTATTATTATTATTACTACTACTACTACTACTACTATTATTATTGATGTAACCAAATAAAATAGGAGATTATATTATAAATTATAAATAAGAGATTGCTAAATAGTATATGTACATAGTATGTATTTTATTATTTATTATTATTAACATTGTTATTATTATTCTAATTTGTTGGAAGGCGCCCAGAGTGACTGGGGAAGCCCAGCCAGATGGGCGGGGTATAATTAATAAATTGCTATTCTTGTATAAATAAATTTGTTGTCGTTGTGGTCATATAAATATCCTTCTTATTCTTAGGGCATAGATATTATTATTATTATTATTATTATTATTATTATTATTATTATTATTATTATTATTACCATTATACAGTATAAATCATATATATTATTATATAAATATCATTATTACTATTAGGGTATAAATATCGTTATTATTTAAGTAGCATTATTTCTAGTTGGGTATAAATATTATCATTATTAAAATATCTTTATTACTAAAAGGTAAAGGTACCCCTGCCCGTACGGGCCAGTCTTGCCAGACTCTAGGGTTGTGCGCCCATCTCACTCAAGAGGCCGGGGGCCAGCGCTGTCCGCAGACACTTCCGGGTCACGTGGCCAGCGTGACATCGCTGCTCTGGCGAGCCAGAGCCGCACACAGAAACGGCGTTTACCTTCCCGCTAGTAAGCGTTCCCTATTTATCTACTTGCACCCGGGGGTGCTTTCGAACTGCTAGGTTGGGACCGAACAACGGGAGCGCACCCGATCGGCAAGTCCTAGGCGCTGAGGCTTTTACCCACAGCGCCACCCGCGTCCCTTTTATCATTATTACTAGATGGGTGTAAATATTATTATTATTAAAATATCTTTATTATTATTAGGGTATAAATATTATTATTATTATTATTATTATTATTATTATTATTATTATTACTACCAATATACAGTATAAATAATATATATTGTTATATAAATGTCATTATTACTATTAGGGTATAAATATCGTTATTATTCAAGTATCATTATTAGTAGCTGGATATAAATATTATTACTATTAAAATATCTTTATTATTATTAGGGTATAAATATTATTATTCTTATTGTTGCTGTTGTTGAGTCATTTAGTTGTGTCTGCCTCTTCGTGACCCCCTGGACCAGAGCACACCAGGCCCTCCTGTCTTCCACTGCCTCCCCAGTTTGGTCAAACTCATGCTGGTAGCTTCGAGAACCCTGTCCCACCATCTCGTCCTCTGTCATCCCCTTCTCCTTGTGCCCTCAATCTTTCCCAGCATCAGGGTCTTTTCCAGGGAGTCTTCTCTTCTCATGAGGTGGCCAAAGTCTTGGAGCCTCAGCTTCAGGATCTGTCCTTCCAGTGAGCACTCAGGGCCGATTTCCTTCAGAATGGAGAGGTTGGATCTTCTTGCAGTCCAGGGGACTCTCCAGAGTCTCCTCCAGCACCAGAATTCAAAAGCATCCATTCTTCGGCCATCGGCCTTCTTGATGGTCCAGCTCTCACTTCCATGCATCACTACTGGGAAAACCATGGCTTGAACTATACAGACCTTTGTTGGCAAGGCGATGTCTCTACTACTATTATTATTATTATTGGGGTACAAATTATAGAAGACGGCGCGCTGCTCCTCTTCCTCGCTGCTCTCCTGGCGCCGCAGCTCGTCTAGGTTCAGCCCAAACAGGAACAGGAAGTGGTGGCCCCTGGGATCCCGCCCTCCCACCCCGCTCCCAAACAGGAAGTGGTGAGATCATCCCCGCAAAGGATTCTGGGAGATGTAGTTTGAGGCTTCTAAGGCACTTACTAGCCCCCCCAAGCGATTCTGGGAGATGTAGTTTGAAGCCTCCAAGGCGCCCTCTATTCCTCTTTCAACACAGCATCCCCCAAAGGATTCTGGGAGATGTAGTTTGAAGCTTCTCAGATTCCCTCTAGACCCCCCAAAGGATTCTGGGAGATGTAGTTTGAAGCCTCTAAGGCGCCCTCTAGTCCCCTTTGAACAGGGCATCCCCCTAAAGGATTCTGGGAGATGTAGTTTGAAGCTTCTCAGATGCCCTCTAGACCCCAAAGGATTCTGGGAGATGTAGTTTGAAGCCTCTAAGGCGCCCTCTGGTCCCCTTTGAACAGGGCATCCCCCTAAAGGATTCTGGGAGATGTAGTTTGAAGCTTCTCAGATGCCCTCTAGACCCCCAAAGGATTCTGGGAGATGTAGTTTGAAGCCTCTAAGGCGCCCTCTAGTCCCCTTTGAACAGGGCATCCCCCTAAAGGATTCTGGGAGATGTAGTTTGAAGCGTCTAAGGCGCCCTCTAGTCCCCTTTGAACAGGGCATCCCCCTAAAGGATTCTGGGAGATGTAGTTCGAAGCGTCTAAGGCGCCCTCTAGTCCCCTTTGAACAGGGCACCCCCCTAAAGGATTCTGGGAGATGTAGTTTGAAGCGTCTAAGGCGCCCTCTACTCCCCTTTGAACAGGGCATCCCCCTAAAGGATTCTGGGAGATGTAGTTTGAAGCTTCTCAGATACCCTCTAGCCCCCCCCCAAAGAATTCTGGGAGATGTAGTTCGAACCTTCTAAGGCACTCTAGCCCCCCAAAGAATTCTGGGAGATGTAGTTCGAACCTTCTAAGGCACTCTAGCCCCCCAAAGAATTCTGGGAGACGTAGTTTGAGGCCTCTAAGCCACCCACTTTGAACCCGCCACCCCCGCAAAGGATTCTGGGAGTCGTAGCACGCCAGACAAAACCCGGATTCGAGACGCGCCCACCATTTTAATTCGCTTTATTGGATCTGCAGAAAGAGGAGACGGGCCGCCGGCTGGCAGGCGGCTTCTCCCGCCCGTCCGGAGTCGGGGCGGGAGGGCGGGGAGACCCCGGGCGCCCCATGGCGCCCGGCGCCCCCCGTCTTTCGAGGCTTTGTCCTCACTGCGCCTTGGGGCCCTTTTCGAGGGGTTTCCCGATGTCCCGCCCGCGGAGCTTGAGGCCTGGGAAGAGAGGAGGGGGGTCAGCCGCGCGTCCTCGAACCCGCCACCCGGCCCCCTCCTCGAACCCGCCGCCCCACTTACCGATGGCTCTCTCAATCTTGCCCAGCACCTGGTTGTTAGGGATGGCCTTGCCCGACTCGTAGTCGGCGATCACCTGCGGCTTCTCGTTGATTTTCTGAAAGAGAAAGAGAGAGAGGGGGGGCGTCTTGGCTCTGGGTTCCGAGTGCGAGTTTTGGGGCCAAAATTACCGTGGCCAAAAGCACATTCCTCTTTCTTTCTTTTTTTTAAATTGATTTTCCATATGTTTTATTAATTGATTTTTAATTGATTTCTCCCCCTTTTATTGATTTCCCCCCATTTTTATTGATTCCCCCCTTTTTTTATTGATTTTCCAATTTTTTTTTCAAGCAAACAAACGTCAATCACAACCATCTTTAAACCAAACTTAGTCACATTGTTAAGCGTCTTGGCTCCGGGTTCCGAATGCGAGTTCCGGGGCCAAAAGCACATTTTCCATTTTCTAATAATAATAATAATAATAATAATAATAATAATAATAATAATAATAATAATAATACTTTATTATTTATACCCCGCCCATCTGGCTGGGCTTCCCCAGCCACTCTGGGCGGCTTCCAAAAAAATATTAAAATACTGTAATACATCAAACATTAAAAGCTTCCCTAATCAGGGCTGCCTTCAGATGTCTTCTCAAAGTCTGGTAATAATAATAATAATAATAATAATAATAATAATAATAATAATAATAATAATTTTATTTATATCCCGCCCTCCCCAGCCGAACCTGGGCTCAGGGCAGCTAACAACAATCAAAATAGTCCAACATTCTAAAAACATTCATTATAAAATTAGTTAAATCAAATTAAAATCAAATTAATGGCAACCATCAAGCAAAATTCTGTGCATTCTGGTAGTTATTGATGTTCCATTTTTTTTAAGCAAATCTCAACCGTTTTTAAACCAAACTTAGTAGCATTGTTATGTTTCTTCCTCGTATCCCCCTGGTTGAATTTCAGTTTTCCCTTTTAATGGTTTCCCCAAACCGTATATCCTTTTAACGGTTTTCCCAACCCAATATTCTTATATTGGTTTTCCAAAACCAATATTCTTATAAAATGAACTTCATCACTTCACGTCTTTCTTCCCCACAGCTAATAATGACCCTCAACAACAGCTAATAATTTTTAATTATTTCAATTACAATATCATTAATTATAATATAATTATTTTAATCATTACCGTCGCCAGGTCCTTCTGGGTCAGCCCCTTGCCCTGGCGCCCCTGCTGAATCACTTTGCCAACTTCCAGCGGCACCCGGTCGTGATGCAGCTCCTCCGTCTCCCGGTCCAGCTTGGCCGTGTTCTTCGTGATGGAGTGCTGCTTGTTCTGGCCTGCCGCCCCTGCGAGGAGGGACAAAGCGAGGCATCAAGCGCAGCAACATCACTTCCTGTCCAGACAGGAAGTTACAACATGCTGCCTATGTCTCCCTCCCTCTCTTCCCCGGTGAAATGAAATAAAATAGGAATAGACTAGATGCCTCTTGGGGTCCCATTTCTGGGGGTCAGACTAGATCATAGCTGTCAACTTGCAGATTGGAAAATAAGGGACCAGCAGCCAAAATCAGGGATTTTCCAGGCACAGGTATGTTCGACTTCTGAGCCATAGCTGTTTCAAGGAGGAGGAGTGGTACCCAAGGAGGAGGAGGAGGAAGGATGCAGGAGGAGGCAGGAAGAAGAGGAGGAGGAAGGAGGCAGGAGGAGGCAGGAAGAAGAAGGATGGTTAAAGTAGGAGTGGTACCCAAGGAGGAGGAAGGATGCAGGAGGAGACAGGAAGAAGAAGGATGCTTCAAGGAGGAGGAGTGGTACCCAAGGAGGAGGAGGAAGGATGCAGGAGGAGACAGGAAGAAGAAGGATGCTTCAAGGAGGAGGAGGAAGGAGGCAGGAGGAGGCAGGAAGAAGAAGGATGGTTAAAGTAGGAGTGGTACCGAAGGAGGAGGAAGGATGCAGGAGGAGACAGGAAGAAGAAGGATGCTTCAAGGAGGAGGAGTGGTACCCAAGGAGGAGGAGGAAGGATGCAGGAGGAGACAGGAAGTGGAAGGATGCTTCAAGGAGGAGGAGTGGTACCCAAGGAGGAGGAGGAAGGATGCAGGAGGAGACAGGAAGTGGAAGGATGCTTCAAGGAGGAGGAGTGGTACCCAAGGATGAGGAAGGATGCAGGTGGAGACAGGAAGAAGAAGGATGCTTCAAGGAGGAGGAGTGGTACCCAAGGATGAGGAAGGATGCAGGAGGAGACAGGAAGAAGAAGGATGCTTAAAGTAGGAGTGGTACCCAAGGAGGAGGAAGGATGCAGGAGGAGACAGGAAGAAGAAGGATGCTTCAAGGAGTAGGAGGAAGGATGCAGGAGGAGACAGGAAGAAGGAGGATGCTTCAAGGCGGAGGAGTGGTACCCAAGGAGGAGGAGGAGGAAGGATGCAGGAGGAGACAGGAAGTAGAAGGATGCTTCAAGGAGGAGGAGGAAGGATGCAGGAGGAGGCAGGAAGAAGAAGGATGCTTAATGTAGGAGTGGTACCCAAGGAGGAGGAAGGATGCAGGAGGAGACAGGAAGAAGAAGGATGCTTCAAGGATTAGGAGTGGTACCCGAGGAGGAGGAGGAAGGATGCAGGAGGAGACAGGAATAAGGATGCTTCAAGGGGGAGGAGTGGTACCCAAGGAGGAGAAGGAAGGAGGCAGGAAGTAGAAGGATGCTTCAAGGAGGAGGAGTGGCACCCAAGGAGGAGGAGGAAGGATGCAGGAGGAGACAGGAAGTAGAAGGATGCTTCAAGTAGGAGTGGTACCCAAGGAGGAGGAGGAGGAAGGATGCAGGAGGAGACAGGAAGAAGAAGGATGCTTCAAGGAGGAGGAGTGGTACCCAAGGAGGAGGAGGAAGGATGCAGGAGGAGACAGGAAGTAGAAGGATGCTTCAAGTAGGAGTGGTACCCAAGGAGGAGGAGGAGGAAGGATGCAGGAGGAGACAGGAAGAAGAAGGATGCTTCAAGGAGTAGGAGTGGTAGCCAAGGAGGAGGAGGAAGGATGCAGGAGGAGACAGGAAGTAGAAGGATGCTTCAAGGAGGAGGAGGAAGGATGCAGGAGGAGGCAGGAAGAAGAAGGATGCTTAAAGTAGGAGTGGTACCCGAGGAGGAGGAGGAAGGATGCAGGAGGAGACAGGAAGAAGAAGGATGCTTCAAGGAGGAGTGGTACCCAAGGAGGAGGAGGAGGAAGGATGCAGGAGGAGACAGGAAGAAGAAGGATGCTTCAAGGAGTAGGAGTGGTAGCCAAGGAGGAGGAGGAAGGATGCAGGAGGAGACAGGAAGTAGAAGGATGCTTCAAGGAGGAGGAGGAAGGATGCAGGAGGAGGCAGGAAGAAGAAGGATGCTTAAAGTAGGAGTGGTACCCGAGGAGGAGGAGGAAGGATGCAGGAGGAGACAGGAAGAAGAAGGATGCTTCAAGTAGGAGCGGTACCAAAGGAGGAAGGATGCAACTTGCAGATTTGAAAATAAGGGACCAGCAGCCAAAAGAAGGCATTTTCCAGGCACAGGAAAATCTCTTTTTACCTCTTCCCCGGTAAAAAACCCCGCTGTTTCTTTCTCCCACCCTGAGACCTGCCCATCTATATCAGTAAATAAATTCCATTAATAATAATAATAATAATAATGAATAAATTCCACTGGAGGAAACCTCCAAGCGACTCAAGGAGCTCAAACCAAATACCGTTAAAAATTGGGGAAACTTACATTTCTTCGAGGTCTCCACGTCGTCGCCTCGCCTCTGAGCTGCAACGACAGCCTGGGGCAGAAAAGAGGGACAGAAAAGGGGAGAAATTTAAATATATATATTAATTTTTCTTCTTTTTAATTCGTGAATTGTGTATTTAATCAAGATTTTCTTGGTTTGCACGGTCTCTCTTTTCCCCCGCGTTGGAAAGTCGTCTCCGCAGATCTGTCTCATTTGTTATGAGACTAGTGCAAAGTAGAGTTAATTCTTATTCTTGGGGTTTTATAGAGAGATTTACAGATTTTTATTCAGATTTGTTATTTGTTATTTGATTTATTAAATAAATACTATTTATTATTATTATATTATATTATATTATATTATAATCAGAATCAAACCAGGGTCTTGTCTAATTTAATAAAATGACATTTCGGGGGGGAATAGAAGGCTTATTTTAAAACGGACTGGAAACAACTTGAAATGTTAGCGTAAACATAAAAGGACCAATATTTATGTTATTATTTATTATTGTTATGGCAAATACCCTAGCCAGCTTAATATGTATCAAATAAGAGGAAACAAATAATACGTATCAAAATTTTTAGTGGAAACAAATAATACGTATCAAAATTTTTAGTGGAAACAAATAATACGTATCAAATTTTTTAGAGGAAACAAATAATACGTATCAATTTTTCTAGAGGAAACAAATAATACGTATCCAAATTTTAAGAGGATACAAATAATTAAGGAATTTGGTGGCTATGCAGAAGCAGAAAGGAAAGTGTGTATATATATATATAAAATGGAACTTATTTATTCCCAATTCAATTTAAATGGAATGGAACTTATTTTTAATCCCATTTAAATTGAATGGAACGTAATTATTTTCAATTCAGTTTAAATTGAATGGAACTGATTTAATTGAAGGCAACTCATTTTCATTTCAGTTTAAATTGAATGGAGCTTGTTCTTTTTAAATTAAATTTAAATGGAACTGAAAAATTAAATTGAATTGAACGTATTCATTTTTAATCCGATTTAAATTGAATGGAATGGTTTATTTTTTATCCAATTTAAATTGAAGGCAACTTATTTTCGATTCAGTTTAAATTGAATGGAGCTTGTTCTTTTTAAATTAAATTAAAATGGAACTTAAAATTTAAATTGAACGGAACATATTTATTTTTAATCCAATTCATATATAATGGAACTTATGTATTCTCAGTTCAATTGAAATATAATGGAACGTATTTATGCTCAATTCAATTTAAATTGAATGGAACCCACTTATTTTTAATCCAATTTAAATTGAAAGGCATTCATTTATTTTTCATCCCATTTAATGGAACTCACTTCTTTTTAATCCAATTTAAATGGAATGCAATTAATTTACTTTTCATTAAACTGAATGGAACTCACTTTTTTTAATCCAATTTAAATTGAATGCAATTCACTTATTTGCAATTAAATTATTTTTAATAGCTTTTAATGGAACTCACTTCTGTTTAATCCAATTTAAATTGAATGCAATTAATTTACTTTTCATTAAACTGAATGGAACTCACTTCTGTTTAATCCAATTTAAATTAAATGCAATTAATTTATTTCTCATCCCATTTAATGGAACTCACTTATTTTTAATTCAATTTAAACTGAATACAATTAATTTATTTTTAATCCCATTTAATGGAACTCACTTCTTTTTAACCCAATTTAAATTGAATGCAATTAATTTATTTTTAATGCAATTTAATGGAACTCACTTATTTTTAATCCAATTTAAATTGAATGCAATTAATTTATTTTTAATCCCATTTAATGGAACTCACTTATTTTTAATCCCAATTTAAATTAAATGCAATTATTTCATTTTTCATCCCATTTAATGGAACTCACTTCTTTTTAACCCAATTTCACCTGCACGCAGTTCATTTATTTCTCATTAAATTGAGTGGAGCTTGTTCGTTTTTATTTTTATTTGAAGAGAACTTAAAATTTAACACCACATATCCATTTTTAATCCCATTTAAATCCAACAGAACCCATTTATTTCTAATTAACTGAGGGGAAAAGTCTCTCTGAGGAGAATTCAGGGCGCCATTTTGAGAGGGCGTGGCCTGGCGCGCCGCCATCTTGGCGGGCGAGGGGCTCGGCCAATGGGAGCCGCCGGGGGGCGTGGCCTCGGCGGGCGAGGGGCTTTGGAGGGTCGCGCCGCGGCCTGGCCCCTCCAGAGCGCCCCGTGAGAGGGCCGGCGGCGGTTGTGCGGGGAGAGGCCTCCGCTCACCTGCTTGGACTTGGCCTGGGCCGCGCTGGGCCCCTTCTTGCGCAGCACCGTCACCGTGTCCCAGTCGCTCTCCGCCATGGCGCCGCTCTGGCTGGCTCCACCGCCCTCCCGGACGCCTATTGGTCGCTGGTGAAGAAGGGCCCGCCTCCCGGAGGCACGCCCGCCAATCGGCTTTGCCCGACCTAAACCGGCGTCGCGGGATTGGCTGGTTGGGTTGCGTCACGCCCCTCGCTCTTGGTGGGGGAGCATGCGCAGAAGGGAGGGTGGTGCTGTCCGGGCTGTAGAGCATGCGCAAAAAGGATGATAGTGCTTCGCGAGCTGTAGAGCATGCGCAGAAACGACCGTAGGTGGTTTGTAACGCCCCTTGCTCTAGGTTGGGGAGCATGCGCAGAAGCGACTGTGAAGCTGCCCGGGCTGTAGAGCATGCGCAGAAAGGATGGCCGACGGCCCTCAACCAACATGGCGTCGGCGGCGCCTCTTCCGCCCTTTCTTCCCCCTCCCTCTTTCCCGTCCCCTCGTCCCATATATACTAATCTATAATAATAAGGAGAAATGCAGAAATGGGGCCTCAAGAGGCATCTGGTCTGAGCCCTGAAATGCAGAAATCTAGTCTAGGCCCGCTGCCCTCAACCAACATGGCGGCGGCGGCGCCTCTTCCGCCCTTTCTTCCCCCCGGTTCCCTCTTTCTACTCCCTTTGCCCTCGCCCAAAATGGCCGCCCTGGCAACCCCCTCGCTCGACGCACGCGCGGCGAATAGCTCGGCCTTTGGGCCAATCCCAGGCCGGGCTGTGGGCGGGGCCAGCCCTTTCCCGCTTTTTCTCCTGCCAGCTGTTGCTCCGCCGATTCTCCTCAGCTCTTTCCCACGCCCGGGACGCCGAGGCAGTTTTGGCGCCTTTTTATTACAAGAAAGGATTCTTCGCAGGACTCTTTCAATGATTTTTATTTTTCTTATTGGAAAAGGCGTGGGGAAGTTTGCAATACATGAAAGAGGGTAAGGATTTGCTGAAATGATTTTCTAAACGGGAATACAAAAAGGGGAGGTGTGAGGAGGTCAAGGAAAGAAGGAAATGAGCTTCAAGAGATTGAAAAATGGATTTATTTTAATTTTTTCTTTCTAGTTATTAGTTTTTTCTTTGCATTTTGTATCTTTTTTATTCCTCTTTCCTATGTGTGTTTTCTAGTTGGTTAATTTTTCTTTTAATTTTCTCTATTTCTGTAAACTTTATTCTGCAAACTTATATTTTTTGAAAAACTTTAATAAATATTTCTTTTAAAAAAAGAAGAAGTTTGCAATACAGTATGTTTGGTCCCGTTTTTAATCTTCTGTGGGGAGCAGCTGGGGAAGGGGAAGAAATGAGGATTCTCCTTCATTTTTAAATTGCTATCATTATAATTATCCTGGTTATTCTGCTAAAGGGGTGAGGGAAGTTTGTAGTATATGATGTTTTCTCGTTTTTTTTAAAAAAATACTCTGTTGATGGCTGGAAAATAGTAATAAATTATTATTATTAAATGCTAAATTATTATTATTATTATTATTATTATTATTAATCACACCCACCCAAGTGGGAGACCCTAAGCCTTAGCAGGATAGTATTTTTATTTATTGGAATTGGGGGGAGAAGCAACTCCAGAGGAACTGGCTGTGATAAGAATCATTCTAATTATTATTTATTCTTTATATAAAATCAAACTTCACATCTCCATTGCTTTCCCTCTCAGGCTGCCTTTAAAACTGTATTGGAAACTGTAGCTGAACAGTGTCTTGTTCAGATGAAGCACTGCTGGGTTTTGTAACCAGCTCATTCCTCCAGATCCCAATTCCTCCACTTATTATTATTATAATTATAAAATTATTATTATTGTTGTTATTATGAAACGAACCCTTGTGGTTCCTTCGCAGATTCCTGCCTTGCAGCGGGTGGGACTGGATGACCCTTGGGGTCCCTTCCAGCTAGATGCACCATAATAATAATAATAATAAATTATATGATTCTGGGGAAAGGGCTTCAGAAAGAAGAAACGGGGGAAAGCACATTTCTTCCCGTTTGTCGTCTGCTGGCTCCTTTCCCACTTGATTTTTTCTTCCACTGCAATCTGGGCTGGACATATTCTAGGTCTGCTTGGACGGGGATCCCTCTTTCCCTTCTTGGGAAAATAATTGACATTATTGATATTTCTTAGGTCTGAATTCCTGCTCTGAAAAGGAGGAGGAGGAGGAAACTTCGCCTGACGAAGGGAGAAGAGGAGGTGGAGGAAAAGTCAGCTGCAGGCATAAAGGTAAAAGGGGGAAAAATAGAAATAGAAATTGACATATAACACTTAAGAACATCTTTAAACAGTATATCACACCAACCCCCCAAACCAGCACAGTAAAAATACAGTACAAAGTGTTTTTATTTATTTGATTGGGGTGGGGCAGCACCTCCTGGCTTCCCCCATGTTGGTGAGGTTAGGGTTAGGGTTTCTTCCAATGAACCATCGCTTGAACCAGATAATTGATTCTTTCACCTATAGATTTATCCACATAATCCAAGCAGAGATGAATTAGCATCCCAAAGGGGTAGACTAGCACACAAATGGTAATATTTGAATTCACTGGGCATTCAAATACTTGAGGCAGGGAACTGGCTGATTTGTCTAATGGAGCATCCAAAACCCACTTTGGATCTGGAAGACCCCAGCCTGAAGGGCAACCCTCCATTGCTTTCTGTTTTGCCTGGAGGTAGAAATGTTGTCAGCAGATGAGCAGTCACCCCAAGAACCCCAGGCCGCAAAAGGGGATGGCAGGGGGGGCTTCATGGCGGAACTGAACTGGCAGCTGCATGAGAAGGGTGGATCCCTCAGTGGATCCCTAAATCGCCTTCCAAGGGCCATTGAAGGGGACAGCATTCAGCTGGGCTGAGGACACAAAGGGGGTGAGATTTCCAATTCCTGCCTGGTAGCAGGTTGGGCTGGATGACCCTTGGGGTCCCTTCCCGATATATCAAGAAGAAAGGGAAAGAGGATTCCTTGAAGGGAGGTGTGGTTGTCGGCAGGCAGAGGGGAGCAAGGCCAGCTGACCAGCCCCAGCAGGATCGTCCCCTTCCAGCCATCCCCCTGAGAAGACCCACATAAATCCTCTGCTCCGACGTAAATCAGCGACCCAGGGCGCAGGCTGTCAGTCTGGGGCATCTAAAACTATGAAAATGGGCTTCTACATTTGGAGTTTCTGACACTGCTCAACCGCATACTTCATCAAATGCGGATGCCAGACAAATGAACTTTGTGGTGAACCCTGAAGCCTGTCTCTTTCTCTCGAAGGCGCCTGCAGGGGATTTGCGCTGCCTCCCGTGGTTCTCTCGGCCTGATGCGTTTTGGGCTTGGCTGGTCCTGGAGTCTTGCAGTTGCTCTGGCCCTTTCTCCGGATCATCCTTGAACCAGCCTGGAGAGATCTCCTGTAAGTCCCCCTTCCTCTTGCATCCTAATGTGCTCCTTTGTGGTTTACATCCCTCAGGGCTGGTGTAGTAATGTCAGGGGGTCTAATTCCACCACGCTCCCACCTTGTACTAATGTTCCTGCCCCTCCCTCACCTGTCCTACCTCCCAGCGGGACCAGGCTTAGAGGAACGGGGTGTGTGGAACATTCACTTTTTACAGGACAAAACACATCCCAAGGGGTAGTTGCTGCCCCCACTCCCTTGTACCCGGGGAGAGCCAGAAGATGAACCCAAGGGAGAAGGTCATTCTTCCTTGTTACCGGCTGCCCCACCCTGCAAGTTGCTTCCACAAAATGCAGGCAGAAATTCCACAGGTTCAGTAGGCGGCTAAATGGTAGGCTCTGGACTCAGGCTTTCCCCCCAGAATGGCACACAGGACAACAAGAAAGTTCTCTTTTTAAAATTTATTTAAAAACAAGATCAAACAGACTTAAAAGTAGGCACATCTCTTATAACGTTTCAGACAGAAAAAATAAGAACACGGTAGAGTATTGCTAGCTAACGTCCTTACAAAATGAGAACAAGGGCAAAGTTAAAATGGTTCCAGAGTCCTCAGTTGAATCTGCATCTCAAAGACAGTAGAAATCTTCATTGCAGAGCTATTTTGGTTGCTAGAGTGCCCCTCCTCAAGATTTTAATTTAAATAGAGGGACCAAGAGTCTGTGGTCTCCTCCCAGTATTTTTATTTTTATTTTATTCTTATTCTTATTCTGGCAGGGATCTACCGCTCTCACCCGCGGATCGACCTGTCGATGCAACAGACAAATTCCCTCTCTGCGTTGACAACAGACTCTGTTTCCTGCAGAGAGCTATCATATAAAGATAATAGAATAGAAAAGGCGCAGCCTTTGAAAATCTGGGTGTAGAATTAAGATTGCTTAGATGCAGAATTTTTTATTTCTATTTTATTTTTATTTTATTGCATAATGAAATGATTTTAGAATGTTGGATTATTGTATTCTTGTTAACCGTCCTGAGCTTCAGCTGGGAAGGGCGGGATATAAATAAAATTTATTATTATTATTATTATTATTTTTGGTAGGAAGTCATTTCGGCACAATTGAAGTAGCTCCTTCCTTGAAGTTCATATCTGTGAAGTTTGCATCTTGAAGAAGGAGTATCTGGACAAGACGATCCTCTGGTATATTGCTGCTTTTCCCTCTGAACAGGGAGGATTGTGTGAAGTGCTATCGGAAGGGCTATGTGTGTGTATACATGTGTGTGTGTATGTAATGTATACATACAGCTATCCGCAGCATGGGGAGCCCTGTGGGGAACTCCTGCAGCACTCCCCACGCTGCGGATGTCTGCCTGGCGCGAGGGGCGCTCTGCTTCAGGGTGCCCCTCGCGCCGGGTGGCAGGCTGCTATCCGCAGCGTGGGAAGCCCTGCGGGGAAGTCCTGCGGGGCTCCCCACGCTGCGGATGTCTGCCTGGCGCGAGGGGCGCTCTGCTTCAGGGTGCCCCTCGCGCCGGGTGGCAGGCTGCTATCCGCAGCGTGGGAAGTCCTGCGGGGAACTAAAGTAAAGAAGGGAAGTAAAGAAGCTGGAAGAAGGAAGGAGGGAAGTCAGCTCTCTAGAGCAAGTGTAAATGTAAAGTGTAATGTATTATGTGTATATAATGTAT